CAAGATAAGGACAACTCTTGCCTCAGTGTGGAAAACAGCCTGAGGGGAGGGAGACAACCTGGGAAGAGGCAAATAAGTGGTAGCTTGGATGATGGTAGTAGTGATGGATACCATTTGGAAGTCACCTCAACAACACTCCTTGGGACCAAGATCTGAAATATTCCTCACATACATACGAATATCGGGCAAGTCATTAAAAGTCACATTCCCAAAGAATACTTAATGACCATGAGGGGAAAAAAATCAAGCTACAGTGAATAAAAAAAGGTAGGTTTAGGGGTGCCTTGGTGGCTCAGTCGGTTGAGTATCCGACTTGGTTTTGGTCAGGTCATGATCTCAGGGTTGTGAGACTGAGTCCCTGTCAGGCTCTGCGGTCAGCAGGGAGTTTGCTTGCGATTCTCCCTCCCTCTCCCTCTGCCCCTGCTCTCTCTAAAATAAATAAATCTTAAAAAAAAAAAAAAAAGTAGGTTTAAAAATATTTCCAGTATGGGGGCACCTGGGTGGTTCAGTTGGCTAAGACTCCAGCTCTTGATTTCGGCTCAGGTCATGATCTCAGGATCATGGGATCAGGCCCTGTATCAGCTACACGCTTAGCAGGGAGTCTGCTTGAGATTCTCTCTCTCCCTCTGCCCCACCCGCCCCCTGCTCTCTCTCTCTCTCAGATAAGTATTTTTTTAAAGATTTATTTATCTGAGAGAGTGCAAGTGTGAGCTGGGGGAGGGGAAGAGGGAGAGGGAGAGAATCCCCAAACAGACTCCTCGCCCAGCATGCAGCCTGATGTGAGGCTCAGTCCCACACTGGAGACCAGAACCTGAGCCGGAATCCAGAGTTGGACACTCAACCGACTGAGCCACCCAGGCACCCCAATAAATAAATCTCTTTTTTTAAGATTTATTTGAGAGAGCACGCACACGTGTGTGCACCAGCAGCGGGAGAGGCTGAGGGAGAAAAGCAGACTCCCTGCTGAGCACGGAGCCCAGTGTGGGCTCACAACCCTAAGCTAAATCAAGAGTCAGACGCTCGGGCGCCTGGGTGGCTCAGTTGGTTAAGCGACTGCCTTCGGCTCAGGTCATGATCCTGGAGTCCCTGGATCGAGTCCCGCATTGGGCTCCGTGCTCGGCGGGGAGGCTGCTTCTCCCTCTGACCCTCCCCCCTCTCATGTGCTCTCTCTCTCTCATTCTCTCTCTCAAATAAATAAATAAAATTAAAAAAAAAAAAAAAAAAGAGTCAGACGCTCAACCAACTGAGCCACCCAGGCGTCCCAGACTCTAAATAAACGTTAAAAAAAAAAAAAAATTACCCTACAACCCAGCAATTGCACTGCTAGGTATTTATCCAAAGGCTACAAACACAGATTCAAAGGGGCACATGCACCCCAATGTTTATAGCAGCAATGTCCACAACAGCCAAAATGTGGAAAGAGCCCAGATGTCCATCAACAGATGAATGGATGAAGAAAATGTGATACAAATATACAATGGAATATTACTCAGCCATCAAAAACAATGAAATCTTGCCATTTGCAATGGCATGGAGGGAACTAGAGGGTATTATGTTAAGTGAAATAAGTCAGTCAGAGAAACACAAATACCGTATGATTTCACTCATCTTCCGTGGAATTTAAGAAACAAAACAGATGAACATAAGGGAAGGGAAGGAAAAATATTTTTTTTTTTAAAGATTTTATTTATTTATCTGAGAGAGAGAATGGGAGAGAGAGAGCATGAGAAGGGGAGGGTCAGAGGGAGAAGCAGATTCCCCGCTGAGCAGGGAGCCCGATGTGGGAGTCGATCCCGTGACTCCAAGATCATGACCTGAGCCGAAGGCAGTTGCTTAACCAACTGAGCCACCCAGGCGCCCAGAAGGGAAGGAAAGATAAAATAAGACAAAATCAGAGAGGGAGACAACCATAAGAGACTCTTAACTACAGAAAACAAAATGAGGATTGCTAGAGGGGAGGTGGGTGAGGGGATGGGGTAACTGGGTGATGGACATTAAGGAGGGCACAGGATGTAATGAGCACTGGGTATTATAAGACTGATGAATCACTGACCTCTACCTCTGAAACTAATAATATATATCAATTGATTTTAAATAAATAACAAAATTAAAATTTTAAAAATAAAAAAAAATATATGGTATGATTCCAAGTCTAAGATGTCTGTGTGTGTGTGATATGGACACCTCCTTATGAACACAGAAAATGATCAAAGAGTTCAGTCTGAGTGGCAGGAACCACAAGAGATTTTTCTTTCACCCTTTTCTACAACACACATTTATATATCATTATTATAATGAGAAAATAAAAAAGACTTTTTATATAAATATTTATTAATCATGTTTCACATATAGGGAAACCGAAGCTTCAGAGATGAAGTCACGCTTTCTGATCTGATTTCCCACCCCACATAACCCTGATGGTAAGACTGTCTGGAACAAAGAGTCACACATTTTCATCTGTTTTTCTACAGGCTGATCCGCTACTAAATGGTCTGCTTTCTACAGATAAATGTGCTCAGATAAAATCCTGTTTTCCCAGTAAAATCTCTTTACTCCCCTGGTGAATAAGCCTGTTAAATATTTCTCTGCCAGATACAGCAAATACCACTCGCTGTATTGATTCAAGGCACCTCTCGTCAAAACTAATCCATGTAAAACATTCCAGTGACCACTGGAACAAGGGCAACCACTACAGGGTTTGGCTATTCAGAAGATCAAATCTGAAGGTGGACAAGAACTGTACCTCCAAAACTGCCACTCTTCTTTTTCTAATGGTCAGACTAGCATCTGGCTTGCTGGGGCATTAATTACAAAGATGACATGGAAAACTTCTGCAAACTAGAACAAGCTCTGTGGAACTAAGCCAGGATCTTTAGAGTAATGACCGCCTCTGAGATCAGAAGGCCACCCTGAGAACAAGCCATGACCTAAAGAGAAGGGGGCCGGCAAGGAAAATGAAGGGAGCACAGGGAAGGTGCAGGTAAGGAGTGGGTCCGCCCAGATTCAAGGGAAAGCGGCATAGATCCGCCTCTCAGTGGGAAGAGTAGCATAGCATTTGTGACCATGTCTAATCTAGATGCCTAGGGCTTGTGGGTCAGAGAGGAGAAAGTTGGTAATAACCCACCAGAGGCTGTGTGTGCTTTGATGAATAAGTACAATGAAGTGTTGCTATACAAGTTACCGAGCCAGGCCTTAAGAGACTGGCAGCTTCCACTTCCTGTTTCTTGGAACCCAGCTAATTGTGCTATGAGGAAATCCAAGCAGCCCAGGGAAAGGTCTACATGGAGAGGAACCAAGGACCCTGACCAATAGCCCTGGCTAAGCTCCCTTCAACAGGCAGCACCAATTTGTCAGCCATAAATGAGCCATCTTAGAAGTTGACGCTCCGGCCCCATATGAGCCACTCTAGCTAGTGCCATGTGAAGCAGAAATGAGGTTTCCAGATGAGCTCTGACTCCCTGAATTCCTGGCCACAAAATTGTGAGCAAAACAAACTGGGAGTTTTAAACCACTAACTTTTGGTGGTTTAAACACACCAATAGATAACCAGAACACTATGTGTTTGCAGAAGTCTAAAGGCAAAAGAGATATAAAAACTACCAACACAAAATACAAATCTTAGGATATTTTTAGTTCATTCTGAAGCCACAGCTCTAGGGGAAGAATTCGATAGGACAACTATGGCCAAGAGCCAAATGTGGCCTACCACCTGTTTCTGTGTGGCCTATGAGCTAAAAATGGTTTTTGCATTTTCAAATGATTGAGAGAAAAAAAAATCAAAAGAATATCTTTTGACATGTGAAAATTATATGAAATTCAAATTTTAGTTTTAGTGTCCATAAGTAAAGTTTTATTGGAACATGCTCATGCCCATTCATTTACACATTATCTATGGCTGCTCTTGTACTATACTGGCAGGGTTGAAGAGTTGCAATAGAAACCACACGGCCGGGCGCCTGGGTGGCTCAGATGGTTAAGCGTCTGCCTTCAGCTCGGGTCGTGATCCCGGGGTCCTGGGATCGAGCCCCACATCAGGCTCCTGGCTCAGCGAGGAGCCTGTTTCTCCCTCTCCCTCTGCCTCTCTCCCTGCTCATGCTTTATCTCTCTCTCTCTCTCTCTCTCTCTCTGTATCTCTGTGTCTCAAATGAATAAATAAAATCTTAAAAAAAAAAAAAAAAGAAACCACACGGCCTGCAAAGCCTAAAATATTTACTATCTGGCCCTCTAAGAGAAACAGTTGACCTCTGCTCTAAGACATGTTCATAACTTGAGGGGTAGACCCTACCCATCATGTGGCCACCGTGCAAACTCACTCAGGATCCAGGGGAAATTCCAAGGACCCACAACCCCAGACAAAGGGATGGTGCTTCTTGACACAAAAGCTTCCTATTTCACCTGATTTCCATCTTGGGCCAGACAAGACATTCTTCTGTCACATGGGTCTCAGGTCCCCTTGTTCTCTGGATTGCCTCACCAAAGAAGATGGGGCAAGGCTGAAGTCTGCATACTAATACCGGTTCTTAAGTGATCAAATACATTAGTAAACATACAACACCAAATAAGAGCAAAACTCCTATATTTACTTATACCTTTATTATAAAAATAGGTTCAAATCATTTCAAAGTTCTGTATTTCTTGGGTTTAATACCATGGTTAATGAAAGAAGACCTTTTTCTACACATAAGCCCTTCCATCAAACCTTACCCTATGACCATGAAAGTTTCCAAACCACAGATGTAAAGGCTTTTTAATGGTAACACCTTCAAAAACGGGAGCAAGAATAAAAGTTTAGATGCTATACGGAGATATCTGGGGACCCTCTTGTAAGTATCAGTGGTTGTCCCTCTCTTACGGTAACTGCACAGGTCCTGGAAGAACTGAGTTCAGAACTGCTGGAACTTAGAATGGAAAGCGAAAAAAACAAAAACAAGCAAACAACTAAAACCAAAATGCAGATGAGAATTCTTCCCCATTCACATAAGCTTTATATCCAGTCTCACCTTGATGAGTTCTCCATTGGAGGCAATTAAATCTGTTGGAATGGTCACTCGAAATGAGCGCCCAACGACAGCCGTGCCATCAGGAATGCCCACCACTGTGGGAACAGCCTCGTGAAGGTCTGAGAGCACTGAGTGCATGGACGCCTCGAGCTGGTTCTCCCAGTCCCTGCCGGCCTCTGAAGGCCAATGGGACTGAGCCACGGCCACAGAAAGCAGAAGGAGAAAGGTCTTCCCCCAGAGGGGGAGCAGCAGCCAAAGGCCCGCAGACATCCTCATCCCGGCTTGGGTCTGCTCAAGCCGACAGTCTCACTAAGAAAGGAGGCAAGTGACTTGGTCCCAGAGCTGGGTCTTCACCCTCTGCACACCTGCTCCATCCCAGGGCCTGAAAAAAAAGACAGTAGACTCAGACTTTAGCCGACCCCATGGTTTCCAAGTTGTACACGGCAGTTACTACCCCCTAAAGTTAACAAAAACATCTACCCTGAGTTGGATCAAGTCTCACCCTGTGCTGTCCAGTACAGAGGGACCAGCTACATGTGGCCACTGAGCACTAGAAATGTGGCTGGCCTATTAAGGGCAAAATACACACTGAATTTTGAAAAGTTAGCATAAAAAAGGAATGTAAGATGTCTCCTCAATACTTTTAAAATATTGATTACATATTGAAATGATATTATTTTGGATATAAAATATATTATTAAATGTTAAGTAAATAATTACATTAATAAATGATAAAGAAATGCGTTAAATAAAATACATTACCAAAATTAATTCCTCCTTCTTATTTTTATTTTTTCACTTGGCTACCAGAAAATATTAAATCACATGTGTGGCTCACATTATATTGCTGTTGGGCAGTGCTGCTCTAGACCTAACTCCCAGTTTATAGCAAACATAGGAGTCATGAAGACACAATCAGACAAATCTAGAATATGGGACCTTCTACAAGATAACTGGCCTGGTCTGTCCAAATGCTGACACCCCTAAACACAAGCGGGCTGTTCTAGATTTAGAAACAGCAACCAAATGTAGTGTGTGCATCTTGACTGGATCTGGATTTACTTAAAACAAAAAATTAAAAATTAAAAAACTTCAAGAAACAAAAAACACAAAACCCCAGCTCCAAAAGGAGTAATTGGGGAATTTGGTCTCTGGGCTGGAGACTGGATTTATTGTTAATTTTCTTAGGTGAGATGATAGTAGTGTGGTTCTATAAGAGACTGTCCTTACTTTTGAAGGATTTCGGGCTAAAGTATCAAAAATCTCTGCAATTTACTTTGAAATGTTTCAGGGGGAAAAATTTTTTTTGTATATATAGAGACCAAGCAATGTGGATAATGTAACAATTATGAAGTCTTAAAACAATGCTTTTGGGGCACCTGGGTGGCTTGGTTAAGCACCAGTTAAGTGTTCAACTCTTGATTTTGGCACAGGTCATGATCTCAGGGTTGTGAGATCGAGCCCTGCATCTGGCTCCACCCTGGGCATGGAGCCTACTTAAGATTCTCTTTCTCCTTCACCCTCTGCCTCTCCCCCTGAAAAAAACAAAAACAAAAAACAAAAAACAATGCTTCTGAAGAGACTAAAAAACCAAGTATTTGCACAGACAAGTTCAGCACTGCTCACTCCTCACACCCCAAGCACTAATCGTAGGACTTGTTTATGAAACCCGTATTTGCAAATTCAGTGCCAGTGAACACAACTCATTTGGCCTCTCTTGCTCCCCACCCCCAAAAGAGAGATTAGAACCCTGCACATTGTCCCTCATACTTCTGACTGGCTTCAGTGCAGGCAGCTCAGAACGCCTGCCCTGAGGCTGAGAGCCACACAGATGCATTATGGGACTTGCTGGGTGTCCTCAAGGTGACCAGAGCAATTTCCCATTCTAGAAAAGAAGCAAGCCCTGCCCTGAGCCAAGCTGCTGAGGGGCCACATGGTATTTTTTTGACTGGGGTAACGCAAAGTAAATAATATTGCTAAAAAAACCCAAGGTCACTGAAGTGGGCAGTGTACTGTAAAGTCAATGCAAATCCAAGCCAATTCCAAAATGGCTGGGGTTTTTTTTGTTGTTTTTTTTTTTTGCTATTGATTTTGCCATTCCTGTTCCTACATTGTTTTTGAACTAAAATTCATGAGACAGCCAAAACCCAAGTAAAATAATTTTGAAGGCTGGGAGTCCTAGCTTACCAAAGACTTATCATAAAGCTACTTATATTTAAAGCAGCATTACAGCGGCAGAGTAGAAGTGGACTGTGGAACCAGAGAGCCCAAAATCAGCTTGCAAAGGAGCTGTTCAAAGGCACCAGGACCAGTGGCCATCTATGAAGAAAATCAAGTACAGTTAGGGTCCTCCCTCACTTCTCCATCATAAATAAGATAAAACCCAGGTGAATTAGATATACAAAAGTAAAAAACAACTTCAAAAAAAAATTTTTTTTTAAGATTTTTATTTATTTGTGTGAGAGACAGCACACAAGCCGGGGGGGGGGGGGGGAGCGGCAGGCAGAGGGAGAAGCAGGGCTCCCTGCTGAGCAGCGAGCCGGATGTGGAGCTTGATCCCAGGACCCAAGATCATGACCTGAGCCGAAGGCAGACGCTTAACTGATTAAGCCACCCAGGTGCCCCTGATTTATAAGTATTTTTCTATGAAAATAACTTTATAAACAGCAGTTATACCTAGCCCTAGTTATTTTTTAAGATTTTACTTATTTATTTGACACACAGAGAGAGAAGAGAGAGCACAAGCCGGGGGAGTGGCAGAGACAGAGGGAGAAGCAGGCCCCCTGCTGAGCAAGGAGCTGATCCTGGGATCATGACCTGAGCTGAGGGCAGATAGATGCTAACTGACTGAGCCGCCCAGGCGCCCCAAAATTTTAGAATATAGTAGAATGTCAGGGTAAGAAAGGATTTCATTTAACAAGACATAAAAAAGCATAAAAGAAAAAAACTGGACTTCCACATCTAATAAGATGAGGTAGACATATTTTTCCCCTAGTTTCCCACTAAACACAACAAAAAATCCTAGACATCATATATAAACACGAGACTCTAAAAAGTCAAGAGAAGAAGGCAAACCAGTGAGGTACCTCAGGACTCAAGGAAAGACACAGTGGTGAGTTCCCTGGGTTTTCTTTTTCACTCAAACATCCCAGATTTGGAGCTAAGGATGCTGGCAATCCAGAAATGCCAACAGATGATACAAAAGAGAGTCCCAACAAAAGTCTGCTCTCTTTAGCCAAAGGAGCACGAAGGGGGTAGCATAGCAAGACAGAAAACATTTAGACAGTAACAGCTCTATTCTAGCCAAACACCACAGAAAAAACTATGGCCCCACTCCCACCCAAAGGCCAAATGGAGAGCCTTAGACTTCCACCCTCATGAGGTTGTAATAAGGCTCCCTAACATCCCCACTGGGGTGGTATCAGAGAAGGCCAAGTAGGGAGCTGGGACTTTTACCCCCACTGGCCAGTAACAATGCACCACCTGGCCTACTTCTCTACTCCCTCAGTGTCAGTGGAAACCAAACCTAGATTTCTATGCCCATCTGAAGAGTAACAAGGAGTATCTCCCACTTCCTGCAGTGCTGGTGTCAGAGAAGAACTAGTGTCAGAACGTTTACCACTGCTCAATGGTAAAGAGGGAACGAGAATTCTCACCCCTACCCAGCAGTTAACAAACACTTCACCAGGCTTCAGGTGTCAAAAAAGGCTGAGTGGGGCAAACAAACAAACAAAATCCAACTCTTAAATAGAACAAACTGGTAGCTGCCAGAGGGGAAGTGGGTGGGAGGATGGGTGAAACAGATAAATGTGATTAAGAGGTACAAACATGGGGCCCCTGGGTGGCTCAGTCGGTTAAGCCTCCAACTTTTGATTTCAGCTCAGGTCTGATCTCAGCGTCCTGAGATCAAGCCCCGAACTGGGGCTCCGCTCTCAGCAGGAAGTCGGCTTCTCTCCTCCCTCTGCCTCAGCCCTCATCCCTAGCCGCCCCCCCCCGCCCCCCAGGCTCACACTGCTCTCTCTCAAATAAATAAGTAAATCTTTTAAAAAAAGAGGTGCAAACTTGCAGTTATAAAACAAGTAAGTCATGGAGATAAAAAGTACAGCATAGGGAATATAGTCAATAATACTGTAATAGTGTTTGGTGACAGATGGTGACTCTACACTTATCACGGTGAGCACAGAGGAAGGTATAGAACTGCTGAATCACTATGTTGTCCGCCTGAAACTAATAGAATACTGTATGTTAATTACACTTCAATTAAAAAAAAGGCTGAGTAAGGAACCTGGCCTTCTACCTCTACTTCCCAGTAATCAGGCAGTACCTCCCTCACCAGTCCCCTGCCAGAGTATTAGAAAAAGCCAGGTAGGGGCGCCTGGGTGGCTCAGTTGGTTAAGCAACTGCCTTCGGCTCAGGTCATGATCCTGGAGTCCCGGGGTCGAGTCCCGCATCGGGCTCCCTGCTCGGCAGGGAGTCTGCTTCTCCCTCTGACCTTCCTCCTTCTCATGCTCTCTGTCTCTCATTCTCTCTCTCTCAAATAAATAAATAAAATCTTAAAAAAATATATAAAAAAAAAAAAAGAAAGAAAAAGAAAAAGCCAGGTAAAAAATCAGAGTTTCGGGGGCGCCTGGGTGGCTCAGTTGGTTAAGCGACTGCCTTCGGCTCGGGTCATGATCCTGGAGTCCCGGGATCGGGTCCCACATCGGGCTCCCTGCTCAGCGGGGGGTCTGCTTCTCCCTCTGACCCTCTGACCTCTCGTGCTCTCTGTCTCTCATTCTCTCTCTCAAATAAGTAGATAAAATCTTTAAAAAAAAAAAATCAGAGTTTCAGAACAAAATACAAAATTGTTCAGGTTTCAATCAAAAATCACTCATCAGGGGTGCCTGGGTGGCTCAGTTGGTTAGGCATCCAATTCTTGGTTTCAGCTCAGGCCATGATCTCAGGGTTGTGGGATTGAGCCCACATCAGGCTCTGTGCTAGGTGTGGAGCCTGCCTGGGATTCTCTCTACCTCTCCCTCTGCTCCCCCCACCCCTCCACCCCAACCCCTTCTTTCCCTCTCAAAAAAAAAAAAAATCACTCATACCAAGAACCAGGAAGATCTCAAACTGAATTTAAAGAAGACAATCAATAAATGACAATTCCGAGATGACAAGGATAGGTGGGTAGAAAGTAAAGGAACAGAAAAAGACACAACATGCACACATTAAGAGAAAGCAAGATGGGCGCCTGGGTGGCTCAGTTGGTTAAGCGACTGCCTTCGGCTCAGGTCATGATCCTGGAGTCCCGGGATCGAGTGCCGCATCGGGCTCCCTGCTCAGCGAGGAGTCTGCTTCTCCCTCTGACCCTCCCCCCCTCATGCTCTCTCTCTCATTCTCTCTCTCTCAAATAAATAAATAAAATCTTTAAAAAAAAAAAAAGAGAAAGCAAGAAAGGCTCTATCAATATCAGATAAAGTAGACTTCAGAGCAAAGACAATTACCAGAGACAGAGGAAAATTATATAGTGATAAAAGGCTCAAGCTACCAAGAATAACAATCCTAAATGTACACGTACCAAACAACAAAACTATAAAATTTGTGAAGCAAAAACTGATAGAACTAAAAGGAAAAATAAACAAATCCACAATTCTAGTTTTGGAAAGTTCAACACCACACTCTCAACAATTGAGAGCAACTAGAAAGAAAATCAGCAAGGATACAAAAGAATTCAAAAATATCAATCAACCTGATCTAATCAACATTTATAGAGCCCTCCACCTGACAACAGCAGAACATACATTCTTTTCAAATGTCCATGGAACATATATCCAAATAAACCATATCTGGAGCCATAAATCAAACCCTGACAAACTTCTAAGAAATGAACTAACACCAAATGTGTTCTCTAACCACAATGGAATCAAACTAGAAATCAGTAACAGGAGGACAATTAGGAAAATCTCCAAACACTCAAAAACTATGCAACATACTTCTAAACAATCCTTGGGTCAGAGAGGAAATATCAATGGAAATAAATTATACTGAACTGAATGAAGATAAAAATACACTTGTGGGGTATGTTAAAATTTGTGGAACACAGCTAAAGCAGTGATTAGAGATGAACTTATAGCACTGAATCCACCAGAAAAAAAGGAAATGCCTCAAACCAATAATGTTATGCTCCCGCCAAAATAACCTTTAAAAAAAAAAAGGCAGAATAAACCAAAAGCAAGCACAAGGAAAGAAAGAATAAAGAGCAGAAATCAATGAAATTAAAAACAAAAATAGAGGGGCTCCTGGGTGGCTCAGCAGGTTAAGCGTCTGCCTTTGGCTTGAGTCATGATCCCAGGGTCCTGGAATCGAGCTCTATGTCAGGTCCCTGCTCAGCGGGGAGTTCTGCTTCTCCCTCTCCCTCTGCTCCTCTCCCAGCTCATGCTCTCACTCTCTCTCAAATAAATAAATAAAATCTTAAAAAAAAAAAAAAAAGATTTGACAAATCAAAACAAAACAGACCAATTCCTTAAAAAAATACTAACTACCACAATTCACCCAATATCATACAAACAATTTCTATTAAGGAAACTATTAAGGAATTTGCATTTGTAATTTAAAAACTCCCACAAAGGGGTGCCTGGGTGGCTCAGTGGGTTAAGCGTCTGCCTTCGGTTCACGTCATGATCCCAGGGTGCTGGGATCAAGCCCTGTGTTGGGCTCCCTGCTCTGCAGGAAGCCTGCTTCTCCCTCTGCCTCTCTCTCTGTCTCTAATGAATAATAAAATCTAAAAAAAATAAAATAAAAAATAAAAGCTCCCACAAAAAGAAACCTCCAGACCCAGATGTTTCCATTACCAAATTCTACCAAATATTTAAAGAAGAGGGGTGCCTGGGTGGCTTAGTCGTTAAGCGTCTGCCTTCGGCTCAGGTCATGATCCTGGGGTCCTGGGATCGAGCCCCACATAGGGCTCCCTGCTCCGGGAGAAGCCTGCTTCTCCCTCTCCCACTCCCCCTGCTTGTGTTCCCTCTCTCGCTGTGTCTCTCTCTGTCAAATAAATAAATAAAATAAAGAAGAATTAACTCTAATCCTACATAATCTTTCCCAGAAAGTAGAAAGGGGAACACGTCCCTATTCATTTTATTTTTTTTATTATTTTTTAAATTTTAAGTAAACTCTTATGCCACACATGGGGCTTGAACTCATGACCCTGAGATCAAGAGTCACATGTTCTACAAACTGTACCAACCAAGCCAAGCGCCCCTCCCTATTCATTTCATGAAGGTAGCATTACCCTGATATCAAAATCAAAGACAGTACCAAAAAAAAAGAGGAGGGTAAGGATACAGACCAATATCACTCATGAACAGACACAAAAATCTGTAACAAAACTTATCGGGGGGGGCGCCTGGGTGGCTCAGATGGTTAAGCGTCTGCCTTCGGCTCAGGTCATGATCCCAGGGTCCTGGGATCGAGTCCCGCATCGGACTCCCTGCTCAGCGGGGGGCCTGCTTCTCCCCTCCCTCTGCTTCTCCCCCTGCTCATATTCTCTCTCTCTCTCTCTGTATCCCTGTGTCTCGAATGAATAAATTAAAAAAAAACTTAAAAAAAAAAAAAAAACTTATCAGGGGTACCTGGCTTGCTCAGTCGGTACAGCATGCAACTCTTAATCTCGAGTTTGTGAGTTTGAGCCCCACTGGGTGTAGACATTACTTAAAAATAAAATCTTTATCAAATAGAATTTAGCAAATAAAAAGAATTACACAGGACCATGACCAAGTGGTACTTATTCCAGGGATGCAAGGCCAGTTCGATATTTGAGAATCAATCAACATAATCCACTATACTAACAGACTAAAGAACAAAAATCACATAATCATATCAACTGATGCAGAAAAAGTACCTGACAAAATTCAACACCCATCTGTGATAAACACTCAGAAACGCAGGAATAGAGGGGACTTTCTTGACTTGATAAAGGGCATCTACAAAAAACATACAGCAAACATTATACTTAATGGTAACAGCCTGAATGCTTTCTCCTTAAGATCAGAAACAAGGCAAGGATGTCTGCTCTTACATTCTTATTTGACATAGTGCTAGAAGTTCTAGACAGCAGCAATAATAAGGCAAGAAAAGGAAACAAAAGACATATAGGTCAGAAAGGAAAAAAATTTAAAAAAAAAAAAGGAAAAAATAAAACTGTTCCTACTCGCAGGTTAACATAATTATCCATGCAGAAAATCCCAAGGAATCTACAAAGCAAGATCTTAAAATAAATGAGTTTAGCAAGATCACAGAATACAAAATATACATACAAAAATCACTTGTATTTCTACATGCTAGAAATGAACATGTAGACACCAAATTTAAAATATAATACCATTTCAATCACTCAAAAAATGAATACCTAGGTGCAAACCTAACAAAACATACACAGGATTCATATGCTGGAAACTATACAACACTGGTGAAAGAAATCAAAGAAGATCTAAACAAACAAAGGGACATATTGTGTTAATGGCTGAAAGGCTCAACACAGTAAAGGTGTCCATTCTTGCCAACTGTTATACAGATTTGTAATAGGCTAAATAATGGCCCCCCAAAGATACTAGGTCCTAAACCATGTAATCTGTAAATGTTAGTTTATAGGAAGAGTCTCCCAGATTAATTAAGAATCTTCACATGGGGGGGCGCCTGGGTGGCTCAGTCGTTAAGCGTCTGCCTTCGGCTCAGGTCATGATTCCAGGTCCTGGGATCGAGTCCCACATCGGGCTCCCTGCTCAGCAGGAAGCCTGCTTCTCCCTCTCCCACTCCCCCTGCTTGTATTCCCTCTCTCGCTGTGTCTCTCTCTGTCAAATAAATAAATAAAATCTTAAAAAAAAAAAAAAAAAAGAATGTTGACATAGGGAGATTACCCAGGTGGGCCTTAAATCCAACCACAATTGTCATTATACGAAAGAGGCAGAGGGAGATTATACACACCATGGAGGGAGAAGGGGATGTGAAAATTGAGGAAAGATTTGAGTGATATGGCCACAAGCCAAGGAATGCCACCAGTCACCAGAAAGTAGAATAGACAAGGAATAAATTCCTCCCGAGGCCCACAGGGAATACAGCCCTAGCCAACTCCTTGATTTTGGACTTCTGGCCTCCAGAGCGATGAGAGAATAAATGTATATTCCTCTAAGCCACTAAAATTGTGGCAATTTTTTACAGCAGCCCTAGGAAACTAATTCAAGTGTGATCCCTATCAAAATTCCAGCAAGAAATTTTGTATACATAGACAAGACCATTCTAAAATTTATATGGAGGGCACCTGGGTGGCTCAGTCAGTTAAACATCTGCCTTCGGCTCAGGTCATGATCCCAGGGTCCTGGGATGGAGCCCCACATCGGGCTCCCTGCTCAGCAGGGAGTCTGCTTCTCCCTCTCCCTCTGCCCTTCCTCCCTGCTCATGCTCTCTCTCTCTCAAATAAATCTTAAAAAATAAAATTTATATGGAAAGGCAAAGGAACTACAATAGCCAAAAAACAATTTTTTTTAAAGATTTTTTTTTTTTTTTTTAATTTGAGAGAGAGAATGAGATAGAGAGCATGAGAGGAGGGAGGTTGAGAGAGAGAAGCAGACTCCCTGCCAAGCAGGGAGCCCGATGCGGGACTCGATCCTGGGACTCCAGGATCATGACCTGAGCCGAAGGCAGTCGCTTAACCAACTGAGCCACCCAGGCACCCGCCAAAAAACAATTTTGAAAAAGAGGAATTATTCTACCTAATATCAAAATTTAGCAAGGTACAATAACCAAGACCGTATTAGTAGAGAGACAAACACATAATAAATTAATGGAACAGAACTGAGAATCCAGAAAGTTTTTTTTTTTTTAAGATTTATTTATTTATTTGAGAGAGAGAGACACAGCGAGAGAGGGAACACAAGCAGGGGGAGTGGAAGAGGGAGAAGCAGGCTCCCCACTGAGCAGGGAGCCTGATGTGGGGCCTTTCCTTTCTTATACCCTAAGGCCATAAGTAACCAGGCAGTTCTCATGGGATTTCAGACCCATTCCCCAAAAGGGACTTCTCCTTCCAGCCATCTGGCTGTGTCACTTTTGCCCAGCACAGACTTGCCAGCAGTGTTAAATGACACACTTCCTCAAGTGGACACCAAATGACCAGCGACTTAGAAGCTGGGGTCCTGTGGGCATCAGCTCCAAAAACCACTTAACTCCCTGTCACTGCTGCAGGGTCCTCCACCAGGAAAGGCAAAGAAGGAAACACTCTTGACTCCTCAACATGCAGGTTCACCGTACTCTGGATAGAGGTCTTCTCAGATCCCTATCAAGTGCCCCAAGTTAAAGGTTTTTTTTTTTTAATTCTTTTGTGTGTGTTTTTGTATCTCCCAGTTTCCTGACTGTCTGTGCCTGTGTACCCCTTTTATAGCTTATTTTATCACTTAATTTTAGAATTGCCTAGGTCTTCTGTTTTATACTATTTTTTTTTTAATTTTTTTTTATTTATTTGACAGAGAGAGGGAACATAAGCAAGGGGAGTGGGAGAGGGAGAAGCAGGTTCACTGAGCAGGGAGCCCGATGCGGGGCTCAATCCCAGGACCCCAGGATCATGACCTGTGCGGAAGGCTTAACAACTGAGCCACCCAGGCACCCATTTTATACTATTTTAAATTGTAACTTTGGAGTTCACTGTTGCATAGTGCTTCTCTTAATGGCCTTTCCTTTCTTATACATTGTAACTCTTACTTAGTAAAGTGCTCAGCTCAACCAACACCCCACAAGACTGGAAGCTATGGAGCAGCAAGGACACATGTGTTGCAATCACTAATGTATACCAAACACACACAAAGTTCCAGACACACACCTAATAGAATGAATGGGGAGGATACAGGACTTGGTTTTTGTTTTTGTTTTTTTAGCTTCTTCCTGTGTCTTTACTCTTTACTTATTTTTCTACTTCTTAGATACAGTTAATCTTTTACTTTTCTAATCTGATTCTCCACTTAAAAATTCTCAGCTTAGGGGCACCTAGGTGGCTCAGTTGGTTGGGCATCTGCCCTCGGCTCGGGTCATGATCTCAGGGTCCTGGGATCCAGCCCCACGTGGGGCTCCCTGCTTAGAGGGGAGTCTGTTTCTCCCTCTCCCTCTGCAGCTCCCCCTGCTTGTGCTCTCTCACTCTGTCAAATAAATGAACAAAAATTAAAAAAAAAAAAAAATTCTCAGCTTATTTGAAAACAGCAACACTATGAGACACACCCTGTCCTACCAAGAACATAAGCTCAGTTGGCTATCTGCGGACACATGACGACATGGGGTATCTGTTTCATGGGTATGACTAAGTGCCTCTGCATTTAGCAAGCAGGCGATGTCCAGGGCACAACTCCAACTGCTATATGTTGGTGTTCCTTGCTCCAGGGAGAAAAGAGCTTTTGGAAACTTGGAAAAAGCAGCCTGTGTCTTTCTGATGCTGCCTTCCTATAAGCAAGGGTCACATCTCCCCGTGCTAGGAACTTGGCAGGCTGCATTCAAACACCCAAACTAGGACATCCCATTGGAAGGTTCTTCCATAGTCTCTTACTCACACACTTGGTTATTCAGAGATGGAGGCACTCCAGAGATCCTCCTACTCATTTTTTCAGGGAACAAGGCCCCGAGAGAGGTAACATTCAACCATGGTCACACAGAGCCTGTGGCCATAATACAGAGAAGTTGCTCAGGAACCAGAGAAAGACTCGGGCAGAATCACCCAGTCTTCCTGACACAGCCATTCATTTTAATACTGTGTATGTGCACTCACGTTATACCCTCTAGAGCACCAGGAAGTGCTCAGGGCAGCCCAAGAATATGTTATGTCTCAGCTGAACTCACCACTATCTGGCTAAGAGAAGCTGCCGAAGATCTACTGAAAAATGGGGAATGGGAATGGGTAACTCATTCCCTCTGTACCAGTATCCAGTGCAGTGCCTGCCACTAAGTCTGAGTTCAGTGCTGCCCTCGATCCCGGTGAAATACAACTCTGTGGAGAGGGACCTTCCCAGAGCCTTGATGAAGCCCCTGGCTCTCTAAACACATGTTCAACAGCCATGATAAAAAGTGTGAAAAATGGACATAGCTGCAGGCAGCAGCAGTTCCACCCCTCAGTTCTAGACATTCCACCCCAGGGGGGCAGAGAAACCTTAAAAGTGGTATAGCCTGCAAAGCCTGGCCACAGCCCTCTGGGACACTGCTATCCCAGAGCTGCCACTCAGGCTGCCGTCTCCTTCCTCTCTTGGTAAAAGCCTGCACTCCTACCCCAAGAGCCAGCAGCACCAGGGAAGCGGGCCCCACAGTGCCCTAGGTACCCACGGCAGCCCTCCCTGGGCCAGGTGAACATTCAGCACCTAACAGCACCACTGCGGCAGCACTTCCACGGCGCTGGCTGTGGGCAACAGGAAGACCATCTGAGCAGGGCCACCTCCCACCAAGCTCCTGGGCCATGGGCCCCCGACAAAGAAAGGACAGTCTGGGGGCACGGGAAGCCCAGGGGGCCCCAGACCCCAAGACTCAGCTCAGCTAAGTGTCCTCACTCACAAGAACCAGATCTAGTCGGGGTTGGAGCCGGCAATCCCCTGCATCTCCCAATGGCCATGCCAATGCTTTCTTTCTCCACCTGCGACCTTGGGGACTCTCCAGTGATAGGCAAAAAAAAAAAAAAAAAAGTCAAGTTTTCAGCAATGCCTAAAAGGTGGTGTCCTTTGTAAACCAAATACTTGCCCTAGAGACAAGTGTATTTTAAGTTTACCAAGTCAGTCAGCAGGGGACGCAACTAGGGAATCAAAAGCATTATACAGTGACAGGCAAGGACCCCAAACTTTGGGGGCGGGAGGCGAGTTCAGCAGGAAAGAAAGAATCCTTCCGGCCCTTCCTGTCACCAATACTAATCCCCAGCTATATGTGACTGAAGTACGTGCCTTGTTTGGCAGGGGAGGGGGGGGCGGCG